ACATGTTCGCACATGAAGCAGCTGACATCCATGTTTGTCCGTGTTTTTCTTTTTTCCCGTTGGCATTTTGTTTGTGAAATGGAGTGGTGGATTTACTTGACGTCCCGCCGTGGTCTGGTGCTGAGCCGTTGGGTAATTCACGGCGGGGTTCCTTGTCTGACGGACTTAGGTTGCCATCTTAGCAAGGCACGCCACTACAGACAGGGAAACAAAGCTTTTACATCAATTTATCGTCAATGAAAGCAATGCAGGGTTCATTCCGTTCTGCTTCCAAGAAAAGCTACTATGTGCTAAATGCTCAATTTGTCTCTAATGCATGTCAGTAATTTGGAAATTTAGAGTAGGAGGTTTGTATTGCAGTGCTGTTTTGTAATTTTACCAGGTCGATGTAAATGAGTTTCACACCTATGGAGTCATTTTGTGGTACTGATATTTTTTCACAGGTTATTAACTTCCTGCTAGTTTTCTGTTGATCTAACTCGTATGAAGAATAGTTTTTCGCAAGTCCTTTTCAAATCTTTAGAGAACAATTAGGGGGTGACTTTCTTTCCTAATAAACTTCACAGTACGGTGTCTCAGTCATGGTTTGATGGAAGTAGTGGATTGCATTCTGTTGTCGGTGTTTGTGCTGCTGATCCTCAAAGTATAACGCCAGAACTGCCAGTAAGTGTCCTCCAGTCAGAGCAAGCAGAATAATGCATAATGACTTACAGAAGGCTGACCAGAGCACTAAGGTACAGTGTGATTTCACCTTCCCGCGGAGAAGCGTGCTTAGTCACGTGACGTCACTGCTCTGCTCTGTCCACAGTACAGTCGCTGGAATATGAATTAATTGTCAATGCATTACCATTACCCATTAACGCATTTAAAACGCACCAATGCGTCCATTTTAGTGGCGGAAATGCAAAGAGGCGCTAAAAAACGCGTAAATCTCAAAGCTATTAGAATTACGTCACGCCTAAATTGTGAATGTCTTAATAATAATGTAATAATTAAAATAATTGCAGCGTACGCATCTGGGAAAGAGAGTAATTACTCGATGTTGGTTGTCAGCGATTAGCAAGACATTTCGCAGTTACTAAGTTAATTTGAATACAAAGATTCCCCTTTCATCCGCGATGTGTATATTTCATTGTCATTATATTTGCGCTTCTTGCAGATATTTTTTCTACATTAAATATGGAAGGTGATTTTTGCCTATAAATAATAAAGGTATTTGGCGTGGGACGTTGCATTATACGCGTTTCTTTACACAGATTTGATACAATTATCATCTGTAGAGCATCATTTTAAATATAACAACGGTGTTTATAATGCTGGCCAAACAGAAGCTTTGTCTTACGAAGATTTTTATATTTTACTGATTTATTGTAAAATATATTGATGTGTTAAAACCACAGATTTACTACCACGCTTGTTTGTGGGCGGTAGCTTCTATAGCCTGGAGGGTTTGAGAAGAAACGTTTGCAAATTATGAAATGTACTGATATGGCGTCACTAGACGGGCTTTTCTGGGCTCAGTAGCATTTTCCTTATTCCTGTTTTCTAGGCGCCCTCTGATTCTGCCAGCGGAGCAGCCGGGCACAGCAGCAGCAGTCAAAACCCAGATGATAAAGGTGGAGATGGACCCCGTCATGTCTTCTCTTTCTCCTGGCTAAACTCCCTCCAATAATGCTCGTCTTCCGGCTAATATTCGCTGTCGTGTGACTGAGGGCTAAGCCGCGGGCGGCCCTGCGCCGTAAGGCCAGTCACGCCGACACTCACTGTAGCCGAAGTTTTACACGTTAAAACGCGTTTTGCTCTGAATGCAACGACTGTGTGAACAAGTAGGAGGCGCGGTGGAAACGTAGCACGCAAAACTACACAACAATAAAGTTAATCTCAGCACCTTTTAATGCTTTTATTAAAAATATATTTGAAAGATATTCCTTTTGCACAACAAAAATGACTGGTTGCTCACACCATGTTTATTATTAAACAAACATTTTAAAGTACAGTACGGCATTCTTATGTCTGTAAAATCTCGAATTCTACTACTAAAAATAATTTTATGATTTTTTTAAAACTTCCTAATCAGCAATAGTACAACAGTTAGGCTACACAATAAAATTACGGTATTCCTGTATTAGGAGAAAGGAAATGTGTAATGACCAATTTGCCCAATACAATTCCCCGCACAGCCTCCTGGTTCTAAAATAAATACAAAACCTGTTTAAGTAATAAATAAAACTAAATAGCGGCAGTATGCAACTGTGTGTGTAGTGGTAGCAAATTTCATGTCACGTCTATTTCCCAAAAATGTCCATCATTTTCCGGTTGCTGTGCGCTTGTTGGGCTAACTGTTCAGCCCGTGCCATCTCCAGCACTTCCCGGAGGAGGTGGAAGGTCAGGTCTAATGAAATTGGAGCTTCATCAGACCGCTTCTCTTTCTCCATCGGGTCATCAAGTTGCTTTGCGTAGCCGCTCACGAACCGAGCGATGTCTCCAACTTCTCCTCGCAAGAGACGCTGCGTGAGGTTCAACTGCAGGGCTCGGTTGGTGGTTGGTGAAGACGAATCGAGGGGCGTCTTCGGCTTCGGAACCAGAGGGTTCTGATTTCCGAGCCGAATGAAATACTCCTCTCCTATTCGCAAAAGGATAGGAAGAGATTGCTGCTGTAGATCAGACTGAGGACCAGGCGCCGGTTGCGCAGCGCCCGGAATTTCAGCGGCTCTGCATTCATAGCGTGGTAGAAAGACAACGAGCAGAATCACGGTGGAAATAAAGAAATTGAGCTTCATTTCAAGGAGTCGTTGGGAATCTGGAGAAAAGAAGATTGCAGACTATAATCCACCTTATAGTTTAATTACCATGACTATTCCAACTTTTTTTCGGGAAGGATCAGGAAGTATTCATCCTAAAACGCAGAATGTTGCCTAGGCTATATATTATGGTTGCATGTTGCTTGTAATAAATCAACTAAATAGTTTATTCTAATTTTGCTGTTTGTAGATGTGATATTCTGTTTCACAGTTTAGCAGTAATTTAAAATCCACTTTTGGTGACTGATATTTATTATTCATGTTTCTACATCTATGTGCAATAAGTGCTGGTGATAGGAATTTTTGATTACCGGAAAATGAAAAACATGGCAAAAAAGACGCATGCAATGTTTCTCACAGTTAATAAATAGAGTATAGTTTGTAATCAGATAAATTAGCTGAAATAAAATGTCACAGTACCTTGATGAAACAAACTTCAAAGTTGGTTTATCCCATACCTGAGCTCGCCGTTATAGTAAATTAGTCCCTGGAAGGCGATGTTGATTCGTTGAAATGTGGCTTTTCCTGGTTTTGATTGTGGTCTATCAAGAAACCTTTTACAAGACGCATTCAAAGCAAAGGGTGGCTACTTGACTTTTATAGCTTAGACCTGTAGCAAAAAGGATGCGCTGAGTTGGTATTCGGCGCCTGCGCAGACGAGCGCTGGTAAATACCTGAATGAACAAGGGGAATTAAAATAGATGAGTCATAAAATAATTGCTTTGCGCACTTTCTCTTCGTTAAGAATACCAATTACATTAAATGGACTCAGATATGTGACCGTAACTATGTAGTGTCCAATTAAAGCTGACAGGCAATTCCCCCAGTGTTTCAAAATATAGACGCAATTCATTTGCACTTAATTACGTACGGTATGTTTTACTTTTAAAACTTGATTAGTATCCTACCACTATATTTTCAGTTGCACAACATACTTGTCTTGGTTTTTTCCCCTACGGAGACTGATGTTACTGTTTGCAAGGAGGTTGTTCGTGATTTCGTTTGCCATTAGTGATTAGTGATGATTAGTCTTAAGTGTATTACTTAACACTGTAATACTATTTTGTATTACAGAAAATTAAACAATAGCGAAGGTTGGAAACCGGTTGTACAAATAATTGGACAGTGATTCGGTAAAACAGCGCTGGTTTGGCAAATAATTTTTTCACTATAACAAGGAATCCATCGATATGAGTGAGCCATATTTCTAAAAGTATAGAATATAGGTAAAACATACCGTTTTGTATCTGTTACGGCACCTGTAAACCCCATTAAGGATGAATTGAGTCGAACTGTTTAAACTATTGGTATATCACGTAGAACATGCAATCAATGACAGAGCAACGAAGCTACCATGACTTCATAATGCCAGTTTTGTTAGGGATATTCTAACATGATTGGTTTTCATCACTTTTAGTTTTTTAAAGCGTAATGTTTTCTTTTTTTTCCTTCTTGGAAAAAGTTCACTTTCACTACAAACTTACTTAAAATCTAACCTCCTGTGACGTATGTGGTTGTCCCCAGTGAAACGTTAATGATTCACCCAAAGCCGCTCGGCTTGGAAAAGGTCACTGTTGTCTGTACTAGCCGGCTCCGCTACCCACCCACGTCAGCCGGCCTCCCAGGAGAGAACCTGGTCTCCCGGGCCGGATCTCCATCCTTTTTCAAAACGCCATGAAGACAGATCCCGTGTTTTTGGTTGGTGGGCTCTGTGGCAAACGTCTGGCAGCAGCCTAGATGTGTCCGATTGTTTATATATTAGGCCTATGTCTATTGTGGTAAATATTAAAAGTGGTTTGGCATTATCCTCCATTATCCATCCATTATTTTTAGTTAATGATAACAAATGTAATGAAATCGTGAAATTACTGCCGAGCAACAGCTCAAGCTAAAAACAACAACAGCAAAAAAGCTGTAGTTCATAATTTCTTTCGAAATTTGGCTTTGAAATGGAAAATGGATTTGAATCCCATCTCCGCTCTGTGTGGCGTTTGCATGTTCTCCCTGTGTCACGGTCCAAACACACAAAAACAGACTAATTGGCATTTCAAATTGCCCCGTGACCGACAAGCATCTCGACCCAGTCATTATCCGCATTCTGTTTGGGTTATCTGATCTTTAATTAGATCAAATTAACAGACTGACTTGTTTCTAAGAAGTCCATCCAGAGTAATGTTCACCTTACACACCTTAATAGCATGTTCTCTTAGCTGATAGACTGGCGTGTGTGAGAGAGATGGAATCAGCTTTTGGGAGGCAGCTTTGATGATCTGTAATGATTTCTCCCACATGTGCCTTTATTCTCTGTATTTTGCACATATTGCAATATATTTTATGTTTTTTTCACCCCTAGCAGCTATCGAACTGGAGGCCTGATTGTATTTCAGACCCTGAAACATAAGTGTGATTTGTGTGCCCAATATCTGAGCCGGAAATCATCCGCGTCATTCTGGGACGGCTTAGCGCCAGCACGGCATGCGCTGTAGCTCGCGGCTGTCAGGCTCCTGCATGTGGGAGCAGCCGCAACAAGCTGCACGGCGCTGCCGTGTCTGATCGGCGTGCGGAGGAGACGCAGGAGCCGGAGAAGCTGCGCTGCGCCGTCTGCAACCCGGCGAGGGCTGTAGTCCTGCAGTGATGACTCACAGCTCTGCTGGCTCCACCTGCGATGGGTGGAGGGACACTTAGCATTGGGCAGACTGGGCCAGAAGACAACACCAGCAAAACTGTAGTGAATCCCCCGTCCAGAATCCGGCTCCTGGTTTTATCTTTTTCCCAGGTCTTCGTCTTATACTCCCCTTTGTGTTTATTTTGCAGATACCTAAATGTGCCATCGACTGTTTCCAGCTGACTTCTTCGATCTAACACTCCTGCTGGTCACATGTCCTACGGGTGGTGCTGTCATTGTGATTGTTTTCAGTTTAACTTAACAATTACGTCATGTATTAAATTATCAGGTGCAGTTCGATACTGCCAGGGGAAAATTACAAGACAACTCTTTCACCATAAGAAAGAAAATAAAGAATTCTGCAACAAAATTGCATCTTTCCGTAATTCAGTGTGGTTGTAGCCGGCTGTAGCAGTCAGATGTGACATGTACGTAGAACACTTTATTTACCAATATGTCGAGACCATATGCACCATGTACATTTTGTGCTGTTAGTTCTCAAAAAGGATCGAGAATGATAGACAGTCATCAAGTTCAACCCTCTGTGATGGTTTGACTGTCCCAACTGTAGTTTCGATGGCTGTGGAGATGTTGTCTGGAAGTATGATGCCATCCAGCACACTTTGACTCATGCTACCGTAATTTTTGCACAGGATTAGCATGTTGCTAGCATGTCCTTCATGACGTTAGGTTAATGCCGATTTAGTGCTGGGATTATAGATATTTATGAAGGGTAGATCCAGGACTAATGTTATTATTACAAATCACCAACAGAGAAAGAGCCCAGGAACCTTTAGCATAACACGTCGTGTATAAAGTAGGTGTCACCTTTTTGGCCGTTACCAGAAGTTCCTCCACTCGCATGCCTTGTGCCTCCCACACTGCTCTGTAGCCCTCAGCTCTCTTGTTTGATAAATTCTGTGGTGACCCATTCGCCAATTCACACTTCCTGCCAACAAGTAACATTTCTCTCCACCTGTTCGTTTCTCCAGCTACACTTTAGCGCAGTCCTGTGTTTGTATCCCAAACTTGCACAGAAAATCTCACTCAAGCTCCCGAAGGAGGTGCAGTACATTTGCTGACCTGTAGGAGGCAGAAGGGGCCACTGGGAGGCTGCATTACAGGCTGAAGGATGAATGTCTTTACAGAGGTCTTGTAAAAGGAATGAAACACAGTGTCACAGGCTAGCCGAAGCGGCGACTGTGCCATGACACAGGCTGATAATTACCAACAGCAGGACACCATCTGTTGGTTGTCCCAGGTAATGCATCTATTCCTGCAGGCAGAAGCAGTAAACATTTACTGTAGGAACAGTATGTCAGTATGGAAAATAACAGGCCATTATGGTCAATTAAGTCCCATCAACTAGAGTCTGCAGGACTTTGCCAAAATGCTTGACATAGGTATCAGGGGTCAGTCTGTACCAGCCCTCGCTGTTTGAATCTCGGATTGAAGATGGACTTTTCCAGCATTAGCGCAGAGATGGACGGCCACCACTGATTCCCTGTGCATGCGCTCGCATGTCGCCTGTACCACGCACATGTGGACTCTTAGTCATGTCAGAGATGGAGCCGTTCTCGCTTGCTAATTTCGGGCCTGCTGGGGGCGCTCTCACCAGCTCGAGTGGTCCTGCACATTCCACTTAATGTTCAAATTAGAAAGTGAAACTGGTAGCTTAAAGCCTGCGAATATTCAGCGGGGGGTGGCATCACTGTTATAGGGAAATGGATGGAATTAAGATTAAGTTGCAGTTACAGACAATGGATGGATGCAAGGATGCAAGGATGAATGGATGGATGGATGGAAATTTGGGTTATATGCTCTCAACTTTCAGGAAGGTATTGTGTTTAAAGACGCATTATGTTCTTTTAGTTTTATTGTGCTATGATATGGGGTGGTATGGTGGTGCAGTGATTAGCACTGTTGCCTCACACCTCTGGCACCCGGGTTCGAGTCTCTGCCTTGGTTACATGTGTGTGGAGTTTCTATGTTCTCCCCATGTCATCATGGGGTTCCACCCCACCCCCCCATTCCAAAGACATGCTGAGTCTAATTGGAGTAACTAAATTGCCCATAGGTGGGCATGTGTGAGTGAACGGTGTGTGAGTGAACGGTGTGTGAGTGTGCCCTGTGATGGGCTGGCCCCCCCATCCTGGGTTGCTCCCACCTCATGCCCATAGTTTCCAGGATGGGCCCTGGGCCCCCACAACGATAAGCAGTTTGGAAAATGGATAGATATATGATATGTAATTTAACTGTAGATAAAAGCAACATTTAGTCATATTTTAGTTTAGAATGATCAAAATTCCTGTTAGACCAGTGCTATTGATGCCCCATTATATCTTGTTTTCTACTAGAGCATGAGAGCATGACATCTGTGCTCAGCGTCCAATCCTGTACGTTTAACTAGACCCCACCCCTTTTTAATTGATCTCACTTACGTTATGATTGGCTAGGAGGAGCTAACACAACCAAGCCTGATGTTGCCCAAAATAACAAGTATGTGCCAGTCGTTGTCCAGTTTGCGGCTTCCATCATTATGTGTCGAACCTCTTCCCGTTGCCACAAGTGCTGTTCTCTGAAGATGTCAGGGAATCCATGATTAAAAGCAAGCAGAGAGACGATGCAGTGGCGTGTCGCCGAGCTGCTTCTGTGTTTTGTGTTTGTGTGGCTGTGCCCTTCGACATTTCACCAGCCTTCGCTCATTAAGCCCCCTGCGTCCGTGTTGACATAGATGTTCCAGGAAGATGCACCTTCAAACCAGAAATAGATTTAAGGTCTCTCGTCCGTCTGGTTTCAATGCCTATTGTTCTCCTTTTCAGCCTACTGTCCAGAAAGTACTCAGGGTAATTGGCAAGGCTAAATTAGGCGGACAGCTGTAATTATTCCGCATGACTGAAATGTGATGAATCTGAAAGTCAAATTTATAGCATTCATTAAGTTCTTCTTAAATGAACTGAAGAACCTGCAGGACTTCTTCTTTGAAGCATTCGGAATATATGCAAAATTCAGAGTAAAACTTTATTACTGCTCATTGCGATATTTTTAATATAA